AAATGCATCGATCTGAAAATAGAGTTGTTACAAAGAAAGGAAAAAGTTGTTACAGACGTTTGACGTTAATCTTTTTACTGACTTAGAACAAATACCAGGCACTTTTACTATGTTTCGCGTGAGACTGAGTTGGTAGAATTTCAACCATCGAGCATCCCTGAAAACTGCGGAAAATATACAATCCCTGCAAAGTTTTCAGAAAATGAAGTGGTTCAGGCGTTCTGCCCCCCCCCCCTCTCGATATGCTACTACAAAGACCCATATCTTCAAAGTAACACATTTTAAACGTGAGTTAGTTAATATGTTGAGGGTGCTATACAGATGATACTATAAATCAAAAGTAAATGGAATGTTCTCTCGGGGATGACGATGTGATTTTTAAGATTGTAATAAATGACATGATTAGTCGGTGAGATAATAAACGTGACTGCCTTTATCTGACGTAGTGTCTGTAGGATGTTTGAAAACTGCGTCTTCAAACAATGCAAACCATTGTTACCATTTGTGGGTTTTATGTCCACTTTCGCCTTGGTTGATATCGCAGAAAAAACATTCGTGAAACAGTAAACTAACCATGGTACAGTACCCATATAGAAACGAAAAAATGTATGGCCAGATTCATTGTCTTGGCGCCTTGATTGGATGTAAAATTGAAAAGGTAAAAGTGGCGCACATAAATATCCCTTCTAAAATTAAAGGCTCTTAAATAAATTTGGTCTAAGATTAGTGATCGAACAAGCTCTGTGCGATTAAATTTTAGTTTCGACATATTAAACTGAAAATGGTTTTATTGCTAATGTTAGTTTCAGTTGTCGGAGGACCTAAAATTTTAAATGTAACCAGATAACCAACATCATAAAACAAATAATTTTATTTCTAATTCAACAATTTTAATTGCTTACCCTAATCAAAGAGGTCAGTTTGTTTTAATATTATTTTTTTAAAATAAAAAACCCAACATAAATGTGCATGAACTTTTTATCAATTAAATAAAAAAAAAACGGTAATTTGCCGATAATTTTTCCAATTCAGCGGATGTTGGTTTATCTTTTTGGTATGTCGTCTTGTACGTCACGGTAGTTCAAAACTAGATCATGAAATATTAATTTAATGAAAAGTTCTGTCAAATTACTTTTTTCAGAGCGAAGATGTGAGTGTTTGAAGTTTTGACAAGGAATAACAGATTTTCATGTGGTGAGGCCTTTTATTGATTGACGTCCATTTTAACGTTAGTCGATTATGTGGCCCGGATGGTGTAAATCATTCCATATTCCAGCTATCTTATGGTCTAGAGAGTTGTTGATTATCTGCTTTTATATGAATAAATGTCCAAATAATAATTTATATAACATTTGAAGCCAGAAAAGGGTCATGCAATAGGCGGATTTAGCCCTTGTCCAATGTATCTTTAAACTCCAGTTCTTAGGCACACTGTCATGGGATACAGAAAAAGCGAAAGAGTTTCAAAAGCGAATGATATTTCCAGGGGCGGTTATACGTGTTATCAAAAGACAGGGTTGTGTCGGTGGGGGGGGGGTACAAAGAAAATTCTTAGAGTGCATTGGGGAGAAAAAAGGATAATGAACCCTTTCCGAGAAAAAAAACCACGCAAAATCAACTAAAATCTGATATTTGTTATTGTGAAAAATGTTGACATATTTCTGTTTCATATTACTGTCCCAAGTTTTCTCGACACAGGGCTAGAAATATGAGAAGAACAAACGTTCTTTAAGCTTGATGCAAAGAGGTGCTAATAGTATCTCCTGGCATTTTGATTGTGAAATTTATATTATCTTTTTCGTATGGAAGGGTATCGCTGCCAATATTAAATGCTCTGCGACAATGTAGTTTCCATTGATTATATGTAAAAAGTACAATGTACAAAGTCCTAATACCGATAATGATAAAGTCAAAATACCTCTAAGGAAAGAGCTAAATTTAAAACGTCAAATGTTAAGTGTTAAATGACAAATGTTTTTTGACGTGTCTACATTTTACATTTCTCTCATTACATTTTACATTTGCGCTCGGCCACATCCCATTTGTCCTTCACGCTTTCTACACAGCAGCTTTCGCACAGCATCAACTTGCATATGCAATTGTAGGATATCACGTGACTTATTAACATATATGGAAACAGTCAAATCATGACAAATCATGACAAATCTAAACACCTCAAAAAGTTATTTTCTTTTATTTTTTGGAATTCAACTGTAACTTTTGTTTGAATTAAATTGCTTTATCATGGATGCTAGAGCTAAAGTATTCGGTTAGGTAACCCGAGTAAAATAAGTATAAAGGACGCAGTCAGCCATACCATCACGAGATGCACCGTCATCTCTATTATCGAAGTCATGTGATAAGGTTTCATTGTTTTCAGTGATATAAGATTACACCAGAAAAGGGTAACCCTGTTCGACGAGTTCCTCCCCTTATCTGACATTATTTTTTGTTCAAACTTGCCTCGGTTGTTCGATTAGTCCTAAAGAGGAACCCAGAGATAACAGGTCAAAACCTTATAAACGCCCTAAAGATCCGAGTTTTTTTTTTCAAACTAGCAAACATTCATTGGCTAAATCGTAGGATGAAATCTGAGGATATTCAATCTTGCTAATTAATTAAACGTGAAATCTTGAACTCTATAGTTAAAGGCCCTACTAGTGGACAAATATTCGTTGCCTAGCAACTTTATTAGTAAGTGCAGGGGGACAGCACCACACATAATTTACACAAAACAAATATATGGACAAGACTCAATAAGCAGAAATCACAAACAAACGAACAATTGGGCGTAACAGAATACTCCAAAAGAGTTTTGATTTTCACCCGGTTGAGCCTAACATGGCTCCCATCACAAATGTTCATATTAGTGGGCCCGCCGCCGTTAAGCACTAAAATTTGCATGAAAATTACTACGAAAATCCAAGATTATTTTTCACAGAATTGTACCCATGGACCTTTTACCAATTGAGATGGTTTTTATGTGCCAACATTTCGTTTGGACATCCAAACGTCCGGGCGACCGTTCACATTTGTTTGTACCAATCTATATGTCAAAATCTTTATCCGAATTTGACAAAACTTAAAAATACATGTTCATGTCCAACATATTATTTCGGATAGGTTCGATTTTGGTGTTAACGATCAAAAGATCTTTGAGGAGTTCAATTGTGGTCTGCATCAGATCGCAACTTCTTAGGTAATGACCCTTTTCTTTTACGCAAAATGTGAATTATGTACAAAATCTGTGGCTCATCTAGTAAATCGGACAAACAAATTATTGTCTGTCCGATTTAGATAAAATTTAACATATATACTCTTCAAAAAAAGTAGGGGATATTGAAATGCAAATACCTATGCAGGTTGTGATATGATAAATAGCCATGTACACTTGACATGCTTTGAGAGTATGTTCACAGATGGAGAACTTATCGCTCCAACATAACCACTGAGCTGCACATACGACACGCAATAGCGCCATACACGTGGAAGGGCTTCATTGGCAAATTTGACACTTCAAGGAAGGGTTGATGAAAACTGCCGCTTGCTGGTTTATCTGTCCACGTTTGCTTTCCTATCGGTTCGTACATAAGATTTACTGTTTAGCGTATCTTTGCTTAAGTGTGTTACGTTTAATTTGATCGGGAGGCGTGTTCGTCGACGTCAACGTCAACCGAAAACATTGCAAGAATTGGCCGTGGCACTACGAGGGGAGTGGGTCAGATTGCCCCAAATCGTGATTGGACGGTTGATTAGGTCTAAATTGAAAAAAAATGTCATGCTAATTCAGGAGATAACTATGGACGCCAAGAGGGAGGCATCTTGAGTCAATCTAATCAAAGCTAACTAATGCTACATAAACCAAAATAGTTATAGATCATTGTAACTGTTCTTTAGTTGGTGATATTGGAGAGCGTTATGTAGACATATTTTTAATTTTCACAGACGTTTTACACCTTTCCGCGAAATCTATAGATTAAATTATTGTTGTATTGACTTACATCACGATTTACTGTAACGTTCTTGCCTCCTTTTCACAAAGATGTTTGTGTGTGGGTTTTTACATTTCTGATCATTTGGAATTGAAACAATGAAATACAAGCAAATAACAGCATGCTTAACAATCCGATTCAAATCATATAACAGTTGTTTCTTGTACTTCACTAACATTTTCTTTGAAAACGGAGTTCAAATCACCTGTTCATATTAATTAACCGAATTCTCTGTGCTGTTGTATGTGAATTTCAAAAATCAAATTAATATGGAGGCAGGCCGCCATTAAATTTCACAATCTTCCTTAAAATACTTATGTTCATTTTCGGTCTAGAATCGAAGAAGATGGTTTGAATGGGCCTTTTTGCGAGGTTTTGGAAAAAAAAATATACATGGGTGAGACCCCAGTTGTTGCTCTGTCTGAAATTTTTGACCAAAGTTGGAGCCAGGCAAAACGACTAGAATTAGCATTTAAGTCATTGGGGGAATTATTTCATGATAGATAGTCTGTTCCCATGTCCCCATAAACGGTTCTGGTAGAAAGTTGATTATATTAGAATGCTGTGTAAAGATCAGAAGAAGGAATGTAAACGAAACGAAAGTGTGATCTAATATTAAATTAGATGTCTTATATAAAAAATATACGCATTGTTAATTAATTACTGGCATCACTTAAACGTATTCCAAGTTACCACAGTAACGGAAAAAGACCCATAGTTAAGAGTCATAAATATATTGATTAATTCCATATTTGCTCATTAATTAGTGTTGCGTTCTAGAAACAATATATATATGGAGAATGATTGTTTATTTGATATATCTTCCAGGTAATTAGTTATCGATTGCAATCGGATTATTTACTGGCTGAAAGTGATAGTTTTTGAGGACATTTACTTTGTCGCAGCAAAGCTTAACCATTAAGATGTCTGGCACACCTACACGCATGCGCCATCTAAATGAAGACATTCGTGACATGTTGGGAAGTCAGGTATGACGGATAGCAGGATATATACAGTACACCTGGTTAAGTTAGTTTCATTTAGTTTCGATCTTACGAGAAGCGATGAAGGGATTACAAATGCATTCCCTGGTGAGGCTCTGTTGCCTCTTCATAGCAGGTAAGGTTTTTAGTTTATATATAACTGGTTAACAGACCGAGTAAATAGTTCCTCTCTTTTTTTTATTTCCTTTCATGTATTTATATATTGATATTTCTTTAAACATTCACCAGTAGTATATTGTATACATTTGAATAACTGAATTAAATATGAATATGCGGAGAAAATGTTTTTGCGCGCAATTCCAAATCTACAGCATTTCACGAGGGTGGATATGGATGTTGTAAACGTGATTATTCATGTATTAATTAGAAAAAAACCCAATTAAACCACCTACAGTCCGTGGTTAAGCACAGAGCCCCAGATGAACCAGGGCCCATAATAAACAGGAAGGGGGGGCAATAATTTTAACGATTTTAAACTTGGGAATACATCAAGATTTAAATTCTGACATACCGTTTTTGTTTCTTTTATTGTGCGGTTTAGTATTGTTTTTATTTTAAATTACACCTATATGAGGGCACAATGGTCTTTTCGGTGCTTAGGATCTGGTTACGTTTTAATCCGGCCCCGCCTATGATAATATATTTTCTGTGCATCGAAGGTTTACCAAAATATTAATCATTTTGTTTATGCAATTTAATCTAGCCATATTTAGTACCAAAGTCGAAGCACACCTGATTTTTTTATTTATTTAAACCCATACTAATATTAAGAAAAATGGCTCCATCAACCTATTGTATATGGTTAAATATGCGCATGAATGTATCCGATGAAGTATCAGTTTGAAATTCTATGTATAGTTTTCCTATGTGCAAGATGTTTTGTCGTTTTATTTAATATAGTCACTCGCAATATAGTTTAATTTGTACGTGAGTATAGTATCCGTTTAAAACATTGATATATATATTTGTTATTTGGGCCCTGTTTCTCGAAATCTTAACTAAAGATAAAATCAAATTTTAGTAGATACTTCAATTTTGATTGGCTAAGTACTAAAATCAGTCTAATATTATCCAATCAAATTACTAAAATTTGGATTTTATCTTAGTTAAAATTTCGTGAAACAGGCCCCTGGACTCTCGACTAAAACGTTCCGGGTTCGAATCCCGGACTGGGCAGAGAAGAACCTTCGAGATTTTTCAACCACGACCTTCTCTTGTCAGGAAGGAGTGGTAATTGGGACAGACAAGTTAAAACGCTTCGGGTTCGAATCCCGCATCGCACCGGTAATAACCTTCGGGATTTTTCACATAGTCTCCTCTGGCACTTGTGGGACTGACAAGCTAAATGTTCCTAGTCGTTTGGATGAGACAAAAAACATGTGCATTCGTGCACATAAAAGAACCGTCGACATTGGGAATTCGATGAAGAGTAGGCGGCAATGCCCCTGTCCTGGCAAAAACACCTGTTGCATTACACACACAGCCATAGAATGGGGAAAAATTAAAGAGGGCATAATAAAAGGATATTGATGGTTTTGCTTTACATTTGAGAAGCAATGCTCATTGTTCTGATTCATGTGTTTTGGAATATACTACACACGACTAATTTTGTTTATTTGTTTATAAATATTTGTATTAATCCCTGATGTTAGATGTATATATGTAGTTGTTGCTGAGAAGGAATTTTCGGAAAATTAGTTGTTTCAAACTAAAAAAGTTGCCTCATTAAATAAAGTTATTATAATATAATTAATATACTCTTGAGATGAAGAGCATTAAGTTAGTCATAACTGTACCGAAATAATAATGTATTAATTATGACATTTATGAAAAATGATGATCACATTTATATGTCTAATGTGACATATTACATAAAAAGCAATTAATCTTAAATGTCTTAATATATAACCGGGCAAATAGAGTCTTATCATCCGAAATCAAGTGACGTCGAGAGGTTGGGTCACGTGGCATGGGAAATGCGTATGAACCAGAAGATACATACTTTTCAAAGCTAGTTCCGAATAGTCAAATATAAACTGATATGGAAAGTATTAAGTCGTCCAGGTTAGATGAATATCTGAAATGTGATGTACACATAGCACGGAAAAAGATCTCTAGCCATCTGGCAAAATTCACTATTGTCGGATATAGTGACGAATGTGATTGTTCCAAAATGACAGCATCTTGCATTGTCTTGAAAATCGTGAAATGTTTTCTTCGAGCAAAGGTTACATACAGTATACCTAACTACGTTAGTTGGTAATATTCAAGATGAAGCTTTAAATTGCGTTACAGTTTCTTATGATTTATTACCATACTGAACAGAGTTTTAAGTGTATTTTTATAGCGTCGGAGTTCAGAAAGATGGCCCGGAACCTTCAGTTGACATCAGGCCATTAACTTAAATGATAGTTCGGTCTAATAAAACAGGAATTTTTATTATCGAATCTGCCGCCAGAAGGAAAAATCGAATAAATGCGCACGATTTCAAAGGTTATAATATACCTGGTTTAGTAAAATAAAGTTACTAACGTCCGCATGGATGACTTAAGAGCAATTATTTAAAAATGTACAGCAAACCATATCACGGTGGATGTTTAGGAAATTAGTTTCCCAGAAAATGATTAGCAATAATAATTAGTTAGACTCGGTTACTATGGTGACAGATTAGAGGCTTTGCATTTTGTGAAAATTAGCGGCATCCTTTCTAAAAATAATATACCATGAGACCTGTATGTAGGCATCATAGCTGATATTTCAAGTTAAGGCTAATTTCATTCTGTACCCTATATATTTGAAAGAGAGATAAAGAAATGGGTTTTACATTTCGTCATTTGCACCAACCGGGATAATAATGACGGAACATTAAAGGCGTAGTTTGATAGGAAGATGCTAATTGTAGGGAGGTTCGGGAATTTCCAGAGTCTACAATGTAGGGAGGTTCGGGAATTTCCAGAGTCTACATTTTAGAGGACTGAACTTGAAACCAATTTACCCTTTACCCCTCTAATTATGGTTAGGGTTAGTATTCCCGAAAATACTCATTTATATAAGGCGGCCATTGTGGACTCCGGAAATTTCCGACCCCTCCCCCTGTCCCCACCCCAACCGGTCTACAATTTGCATCTCCCATTATGAAAAGCTATCTAGAAGAGCAAGACTAGCAACGGGGTTAAACAATTCTGGACTCTTATAAAACAGGTTCCGGATTGAATCCTGGAATCAGATGAATGAATGTAAATGATGCGATAGTTTGTACTAAATACCTGGGTATATACATTATAGATCCACACTGTCAGTTTGTGTTAAAAAAAACTTATTGTACCTGTCTATTTTCGGTTTTACATGTTTGTTAATTAAACCGGTTAGACATCCATGAAACAAGCTTTTCTTCTTTAAACATCGCGGTTAGGCTAAATGCATGAATCCACTCCGTCTAGTACAATTGTCCTTTGGGTGCTCATTGTCTTCGTCGTGATAATACATGACGTCAAACACGGAGTGATTTATAACTCAATTAGTATTGTCTATACTTGATGTGGTACGTATAATTATTTGGTTTTCCTCAACGATAGCTAACCTGCATTTTACAAGCATGTCAATATATATGCCATAGTTTTCTTAGATGCCTTAATGTGATGTTTCAGATCGTAAATCAATATGCAGATAGCGATACTGTTTTCGTCAAATTACATTAAAAAGGAAATGTCAAAAGTTTGTCATATCAATGGATTATTGACATGTTATTTATAAATGTCAGTACTAAGTCTGTCAGAAATGACCCCAAAGGCTATCTTATCAATCACAAAATGACCCTATGTCCACTCGCTGACCACTCATCGTTAAAATATGTAAAAATTTACTATAGATCAAAAACTATATATAAACATCTGTATGAAAATAAGTATACACATTTATAGTGATATGGTAAAAGAATAGTTTCTGGTTTGATATACAGATGGGAAATTCTCATAGTTCTGGTTCATTGCACAAATACAATCTTAAAGATCTATGTTAATATTTAAGATGAGATGATTACAGGATAACTATATGCCAGGACTATTCTCCTGAGCAATTGATTGAAAATTGTAAAGATAATTATGTATTTTTCATAACAAACAAGAAAGGTGGGGACCACTAAAGAACTCAAATCGGCACACATTATTTATTTTCATGGTGTATTTTGCGCATTAGAGGCAAATCCGAATGATCATATACATATAGTTTAATCGAAATAATTCGAAAGGCGTAAGTCACGTTATTATATTTCTGAAGAGGGTGTTTAGGGCCATTTTTTATTTTGACAGGAATACAGAAACGTGTAATGATCAGATTTTGATAAGAGAGTATGCATTTAATGAAACAAATGAAGAAAAATATGCGTAATATTAAAATATCCAGAGGTTATAATTTATATTTTAAAACTGGTTTAATGTATGCATAAAGTAGAGCTTCAGGGCCTAATATATCATTTTGTAAATACGCAACTTGTGGGCACGTTGTGATACCATAATTAAGGTGCTACAGTTTCAGAAATAGAAAAGAAGACAATACATTAAATAATTTCCACGAGAATGTTTTAATCTCACAGAACGTGTTTCAAAGGTATTAAGTGATATTAATTGCATAAACATATGAATCGGTGGTAAGCACTATGTTATAGCAGCACTACATGTTAGCCCTTATCATACCGGAAGGCCAATAGACATGTTCCTTATTTAAATTTACAATTATCTTAGTTACCATCTTAGCAACGATGGCCGCGGACAAATGGATTGCCGTTTAGACACCAAAAGATGATTATATACAAGAGATGGCGGCATGAAATCATTGAAAAGTATAGATGGTGAGCCTAAGGTGGCCATAACTTACAATAGGATTGATTGATTCAATGTGCTAATCTCTAAACAGTTTGCTGGTTTTTAAGACTTTATTTTTTAGGGGGGGGGGGGGTCCTTAAGACTATTTAACCCCAAACCATAATACTGATACTGTATTTACACGGAATAATAGTACCCTTCAGAGTAATTTGACAACATAAATCTGCTCTAATTATGTAGGTACAGATTTTACGCGCCATTATAATATAGCCAATCCTACAGATAATCTCTGAAG